ATTTGTCGGGTGGCGGCAGTGCACATGTGTTCGGTAGCTCTATTCGTTTTTAGTGCCCGCACCCGGCCCGCACCCACCCGTGACGGGGTGGGTGCGGGCCGGGTGTGATGATAATAATCCCACCATGGAATGATGGGATCAGAGCTCACGCAAGAGGCGCTGCTTAGCGTGGGCTAGGATCCCAGAAGCCCACCAAATCACAAATGTTGACTAACCCTTTTAAAAAAGTGTGAGAAGCAGCGAGCTTGTCACACTGTTGTCTGAAGACCGGCGCGAGCTAAGCATGAGTACACCGGTGGATATGACTCGACGGTTCACTGTTTCTTCCACATATTCGTCCTATTCTGTAAATTCTTACACGCGAATGCATCACATGCCGCATCACATTTAGATGAGATTAAAAACAGAAGGCATGCCCTTCTTACCTAGGCACATGGCCGATACAGCTGTACATATCGCGCAGAATTCTTAACTTATGATGACGACGAATCAAAGCCCTATGTGCAGTTATGTGTACCGTTAAGGTTGTATGTCAAGAGCCACCGGTTTTCTGATAGCTTTTGCACAGTTTACGCCGATCAGCCTCCTAATGGTGCCAGAAAATGCGTGTTCACTAAAATATTGCCAGCCAATAAAACGTCTATTGCGGCGTGAAACGAGCAATATGATAACATGTGAAATTATCATCATGCAGATTCCATCCAAACATAAGCGCGAGCAGCCTGCCGCCTTTGGGAGCCCACATGAATAGAAGTATCAATGCATCGGAGCATCCCACTTCAATGGGCTTGTCAGGCGGATGTGCACTTATGTTTATCGCTTGCGCACTATGTGGTAGTGTTTGGCGTAGTCTTGGCATATCCAAGTGGTATCAGCGCAGTTTTCTCTGATGCATGTAATTAAGGGCCTTGGCATTTCGCTCAGCTGATGCACGGCAACATCCCATGTCATTCAGCGCACCTTCAGCTACGAACGCGCACGGGTCTTGTGGGGGGGGGGGGACATTTTTTCATACCGCTGTAAGCTCTCGCGATGGATGAAAATGTCTGTAAAGATCTCACGGTGTAACCAGACAAATCTGAATGCTATAGAAACATGAATCTGAGTGGTTGAAAAGCACACGTGCCCTATATGCCAGAACACTTTTTGTGACTGCTACCCAAACATTTCAGTCACGCGAACGTCTTCCAAAATAACGGGTGGCTTATTTTCTGTCCGCTGTGGATAAGATGTTTGATCCGTGATACGACAAACAGACGCTCTCATTGACTGACTGTGAATGCTTGACTTACATGGTCGATATCATTTCTCATCAGCGCGATAATAGTTCGACACTTACAATGCCTACGCATAACCATAATTCTTACCTGGGCAACCGAAACCGAGGTGGCAAAAGGTAGTCGCCAAAAGCAAAAAGATTTAAAGGAGTAAATATCATGGCGTTTTTCTAAGCATCGTCACTCGTTCAACTTGCTTGCGACACAACTCATTCCACGCAAAAAGAAAACATAATTACAACTTTCACATCATGTGGCATAACTTACCCCAAGGTAGAGTAGATTGCATCATTAGAAAGGGGTTCATCCAAAACATCAAGTACGTGTTTTCCAAGAATTTACCGCTACAGATGTTCGTGAAGGTTATAGATGCCTACCGATGTAAACATCTCAGTTCCATTCTAAGCGGATATGGTATGAGGTAGCCCGGCATACGACCTGATACAGCTCGCTCTACTCTCCCGTGCCTATATGGGTGAAGTAGCGACTTTGGCGTGCCTCCCATGTCATAAAAGCTTTGGTTGATGGCGTGACTTGATGCAGGGGAGTTTGCATTTTTTGAGACCATGGAGAAGATATGAAAAACCACAACATTCCTATTATTTGGATACTGGTCATATTAAACTAGGCAATTTTATTAAGAGGTTTCATTCCATTTTCATTTATAAATTTCATTTAATTGAAGATAAAATAAGTTCGTTTCTTTTAGGCCATATTTCTCATATTTCATAGGCTAATACATAACGAATGTCTCCCAGTATAGGCTAAAGTTAGGTGATGCTGGTTTCGGAAAGGTGGTTTTGGCAACTCCCTGGTCTTTACCACGCCCTCAGGTGGGAGTTGATTCCTTCCCTCTCCGAGAGGTTTTTCTAGAACAATTCCCGAGTAGCACGGAGTAGCCTGGGTTAACAAATTAGATGTGCCTTATAAGGTCGCTGACCTATGCCAGACCAAACTCAGGCCATGGCTGTCGGCGAAGGCAGTCTTTTTGGAATCGTTACATCTGATGCGATAACGGAGCGTTACACAAAGCCAGACATCTCTGAGATAGTGTATGAGGAAATGAAACAATTCAGTGAAGGATTCCAACAAAGTCCATTGACCTGGGGCCAGGAATAAAGGCCGGACCGGAGTCAAAACCATCTGTTTTGTCTCCAACCAACCAACAAACCAAACCAAAACCATCGTACTCGAGAGGTTGCTGAAAGGGTGGCTTCCGGAGCTTACTTTAGATGCATTAAAAGCAGGAATCGCAACAGACAGCTTCCATAGATTGTTAGAGGTCAGAGAAGGTCACTAACCTAACTTGACCCAGATCAACCTTTTTTAGGAACGTACTGCCTGGCGCAATTCTTGACGCTACTGAAATTGCAAAATAAAAGCAATCTCGTACATTTTGGTTACCACGAGCCCTTCAAGGTTAAACAAGGTCACTGACTTAAAATGGACAACAGTGACGTTTTGTTTAGAACATGTGTCTGGGCTCAAGGCGGTTGCATGAGGAGGCATGGTGCAATCTGGACAGCAATCTGGAGTTTGACCTTATTTGACTTATTTGACCCGAAGGCCTTAACCCAGGAGTCTAAAGTTTTGAGACAGATGTTTTACATGTAGGCCAGCCCAGCCCGTGAATGTCATGCGCCCATCTCTCCTAGTTTTTTTTAGATCTCATTAAAACCCTCAGCCCCACCCTAGTGTGTCGTGTTCAATGGGCCGCCCGGGCGCCTCTTAGTGGGGCATTTATGAGCCGGCAGTGAGGTCATGAAACGCTAAGTGAGAGATGTTATGAGTTATGCGTTTTGAGTTTTACGGTTTGGTTGTTTGATTGTTCGGATTAGAGCTCTTTCGACCAGAAATGAACATTTCAGGGCTGTGAGATGAAGGAAAATGGTTGACGGTGGGTCAGGCGTGCATGCACCTGGGGGGCCAACCCCTGAGCTTTAACCCACGCATGTGCGCTGAGTACCCAGTCGGGGTTCCCCTTCCCACGGGGCTCTCGCTCCACTCGTGGTTGGCACATACAACCTGCCTCGGACAAGTGGGGTGTCGCGAGGATGCAGGATAAAGCAAGATAGAGGATAGGAGGGACGGATTAATTGTAAATATACGTTTTGTGTTACATAATGTAAGAAGTCATACATTAGTAAGACAGTAGTAATCGCCTTATTCCTTGGAGAAAAACCAGGAGAACGGAGATATAGTTGGGTTGATATTTCTGCAACATGCCTTTATCCAAACAATAGCAGAAGCCTTTTACTATAGCTAAATAGTCAAGGCAGATAAACCTAGACTTTTCTTTTGTGTTTTTGTATGCATGATTTTTCTTTTAATCCTGCGGGAAGAAGCCTCGCAATTTGCTGATTCGTTTGGTGTTGACGTAGTGTTCTGCCGGTCGCTACGACACCGGTGGGCACTCTTGATTGCTCGGTCATCTATCGAGGTTTAGGATGGTCCCGTCACTGGGGTAAACATCGGACTCAGGAATCCTCTGAAGCCTTCCTTCTAACGGAGAGCGGAATCTCTGCATTTGTGCAGCAGCAAACAGCACGACGAGCATCAGCCGGATGGTGAGCTCATGTGCCTCAATGTCTACCGAACGGCAGCTAAGTCCCTGCGCATATGGACTTATCATAAGTGTGCCCACTCCGCAGCCAAAGTCGTCGGTTATCTGTGCCTACAAGTTTGGCTTTAGCAAGCATGATCTATAAACCCTACTCTTCTGCAACTGTTGCAATGGGATAATTGTAATGCATGACTGAACCGTCGGATTGGTTCGAACGCAGTCACGCTACCATTGTTATACATAAACACTGTCACGATCCGGCGGACCTCAATTGGTATAAGTGAGAGCGGGCCAACCTTTAGTTCCAAGGAGCAGCATAATGCCATTTCAGTCCATCTCAAAATTATCTCTTACCTCTATGCCCTTGACTTTCAATGTTCTTTCATGCGTGGACGATGGTGATGTTGGTCAGCCACAAAATATGTATTGTTATCACTCTGAACGTTTTCCGAAATGCTGGGCTGACATAATGCTCAAAAGGTTCCAGGCTACCAAGTAGAACACTTGAATCATAGGAAGCAGGTGCCGCTTGTGCCCCCCCCCCCCCCCCCCTCCTCGTTGAATGCGTCATTGTTTAGTGTCATTTCAGTAGCAAGTGAAATTAAACTAATCTTTTTTTTACATGCCCGAGGGATTTCGCAAGCTATCTAGTTAGTTTGCAAACTACCTAAGGTTTCCGCAAGGGCCTTGAGCGAATAACCGGGGTTTTTCATACTCACTGTTATGTATGTACGTACATATATATATATATATATATATATATATATATATATATATATATTGAAGACACATAACATGGGCTAGTCATCACGCCGCGCAAGACAGTTCATCAGTTGTAATTTAGCTTTGCGAAACTGGTCACAGCCAATCTCTTCAACGAATGAGACATGTGTGAAATTAGCCAAAGGTTGACGCCGGCTGCAGGGCGCGAACTCTCCGCGCCGTGTGCGGCTCGGGTGGTGGCGTGACAGGCTGGGCGACTGTGCCGGCTGTCTGTTCCCCACTGCTGCCTCACTGTCGCGGCCGACCCGGTTCCCTTGGCGCGGCGCTCACTGGCGCGAGCCAGCCTGATTCTCTGATTTATTGGTGAAACCGCGCTCACCGGGAAATGCATGCTATTTAACGCCGCGAGCTGCCAGCAACGGCATCAGACGCTCAACATGGCCCACCGCAGCACGGTAGGTCCGGCCGCCGGCCCGCGCCGCTGCTCGAGCTGTCAGTGTGCCTGTGAGAGGCGGCCGATCTCGTGGTTAGTGGTGGAAGAACAGATCCAGCCGCGGATCAACGCCAGGCCATGCCAGTTCGTGTCTTGCAGCACCGTGATAGGTCCGGTCATTGTCACGTTTGTACCATAGACCAAGCTGGTAGTTTTTAGACCAAGCTCACGTTTGTACCATAGCTGGTAGTTTTTTTGTCGTTTGTTTCACCTGCTGGTCGGAAGTCCACCGATCATTCGGTGCCAGTAGAGACCACCCTCTGGCATTTGCATCAGCCCGTGGTCGTAAATCCGTCTGGCGTGCTGGTCTCACAGCAAGGCAGTTCAGGAAGCTGTGTCGTGTTTCTCCAGCTGGCGGTGGTGGCTCTCTTGGCCCTGGTGGCTGTCGTCTCGGCCCAGGGCGGACGCGGTGCAGGCGACGGCGGCTACGGCAAACAGCCCGACGGCTACTTCCAGTACGTCAACGTGCCCGGTCACAAGGAATACGAGTTCGGCTGGAACCGTGGCAACCCGCACCACTACATCAGCCGCTACGAGCAGGCCAAGGACCACCGGTTCCGTACCCGGGTATGTTGTGACGTCAGTGGCACCCCGCCGGCCCGTCGGAAGTCTCGCTGGGCCTGTGCTCTGAGTCAATGGCACCCCGCCGGCCCGCCGGAAGCCTCGCCGAGGCCTGTGCTCTGAGTCAATGGCACCCCGCCGGCCCGCCGGAAGCCTCGCCGAGGCCTGTGCTCTGAGTCGGTGGCACCCCGCCGGCCCGCCGGAAGTCTCGCCGGGCCTGTGCTCTGAGTCAATGGCACCCCGCCGGCCCGCCGGAAGCCTCGCCGGGGCTCTGAGTCGGTCCTCACGTTGCCCAAGATTGGTCTCTTCTTAAAAGTAACGGTTGAGTGTGTAACGCGTCCACGATATTGCACGCGACTGTCGTATTATCATGACATGGTCCAAGCATTTTCGCCGCAAGAAATGGGCTATTAAACGAGGATATACTCGCCATATATATTGGCCACCGTCTTTACATGGTCAGGTTGCCAATCTGGGTATATCATAGTATGATGCTACGTACTAGGAGCTGAACAGATAAGGCCAGGGGTGAAGTTTGCAATTCAGTTGAGGGAGGGGGAGCTTCAGTCTCCAGCTTTGTTAAAAAAGCAGGCCAAATCTGGGGAAAACTTTTTCGCGTATTTTGGGGCCGATTTCATAATCTTTCACGGCTTGGCCACAATATATATTGATAAACTGCGCTCTTAGCTGAGGCAGTGCTCACATAACGATATTGGTGTTGGGTGATGTGCTGATGGCTCGGTAGTTTCCATCCAGTAATGCGCTGAAAGACGACAGCTTGAAAAAGTGGTTCACTGCACTAGCTGGGAACGATCTTTCTTCCCTTGGCGCCTGTGACCATGTTTGTCTGTACAGTTGTGTTCACGTGCATTCATTGCGTGCTCCGTTACAGGTGAAGTGGGCGGATACGAAGGGCGGATCCGGCGAGCACTACTGGGAATACAATCACGCACCGAAGGGCTATGGAAAGGGCCAGGGGAAGGGCCATGGAAAGGGCCAAGACAAGGGGTACGGCAAGTCAGACGACGGAGGCTATGGCAAGGGAGATGACAAGGGGTACTCGCCTCCCTCCTACTCGCCCCCTGCATATCCGGCCCCCTCTTATTCGCCCCCTTCGTATTCGCTGCCGGCTCCAAGCTATTCGTAGGCACGCACGTTTGCAGCGCCATCTTTTGCGAGAGAGCGGAAGCTGTTGACGCCGCTGTCGCCCAGTGGCAGCACCTGCAGCGGGCTGCGAGCCTTCGCACAAGGCAATGGCAGTCGAGCCAAAACGAACAAGGCCTCGAGCTTAGCGCTGGGACGTTTGGCTTGCTGGCGGTCGCTTCCCTCGAGCTAGTGGTATCGACTCAGTCGCGAGCGGTCTGTTCTTTTTGACACCGCGGCAGCCGAAGCGGAGCGCAACGCTGTGGCAGCTGACGCGGGGCGCAACGCTGTGGCAGCTGGCGCAGGGCGCAACGCTGTGGCAGCCGACGCAGGGCGCAGCGCTGTGGCAGCTGACGTGGGGCGCAACACTGTGGCAACTGGCACAGGGCGCAACACTGCGGCGAAGTGTTATTCTAGTCGAGCCATCTCCGATTGTTATCATGTCAATGTTGAATGCTGCCCCTGTCGGATCCTCGTTAACAGCGCGCGTTACCACGCTCTCGCAATAAAGATGTGATAATTTTCATGTCGAGAAAGGGGCCGATCTCACGCAGAGCACAGCTCCGGCCAACATTGAACTAGGGCCAAACATGCACAGACTGGTCCTCTGCGATGTGAGCCGCCATCTATTCAATCACACAGAGCACAGATCCGGCCAACATTGAATTAGGCCAAACATGCACAGGCTGGTCCTCTACGATGTGAGCCGCCATCTATTCAATCACACAGAGCGCCTCGCTAACTTCAGGAGGTAGCAGCCTGGTTGAACATACTTCATGTCATAAAACGGTGTCCGAGGCCGTTTGCCGGGAACTATTTAGCATAGTTCACTTCGAGAACAAGCCATGAAAAGTTATCGAGACAGTGGGTTCGGGTCTAATCACACAAGGCCTCGCCCGTGCAACCACATTTCACACGTCACAGACAGCACCCACCAATGGGCTTTTCTCAATGCATGGCTGAGTCCCAAGGGCTGTCAGTTGGGTCCTCCGACGTCAAAACACATACATTTCTGAAAACATCATATATTGTATTTTCATGATGACCCGTCACCCACGAACAGGTTATCACCAGTGTCCAGCCATGTTCACTGTGGCACACAGCACCCGGCAAAAATACAAACATTACTAACTAAAGTGTTGCGATGTCTATGGGCACTCCCAAGAAGTGATAACGCTGCAAAACTGGTTTCATTAAACACATGTTTGGTGATACCGGGGGATATTTCCCAGTGCCAAGAATGGCAACTGACAGGCGACGAACACCATTATCCAAATAGCAGAGTCCCATGCATCACCGTTTAATTATTGTGCCCCAAGTGCAAGGGGCGTAACAATGTCCTGTCCAATATAACCATACACGTGCATGCCGCCAGCGTCAGTATTTCTCGCAGCATTAGGAAGCAGCACGAGCTCGCTTATTGGCTGCTGGTGTCGACCGCTGACGTCAAGATCGCGTGGACGAGTCCATTTCACATGAGTGGGAGGTTCGCGGGCGGCTCTCCGCCGGTCGGTTGACGTCACTCCGGCTGATTGGGAGTGTGTCGTCGCATGCGACCGGCCCTGTTGCTGCAAACAGGGCCACTCTTACCGAAATGAGACAAGATCTAAATTGGTCGTTGAATCTTGTTCCTCCTTTTTTGTGCTCTGCAGTGTCCGCAGCTCCGCAGCCTACGCGCAGCAACGTGACCTGCAGAGGAGCAGGGGATTCCCAAACGGCGCGGGTCGTTCGGATGCAACGTTCAGCATCTGCGAACCCAACTGATGATTTTACAACTAGCCAGAGACGGCACTAGTAGTTAGCTAAATGCTACTAGGAAGCCATGGGCCTCACTTGCCGTGCGACGATGCTGGCCATGACGTGGCCGAGTGTCAGGCGCGTGCGACCGCTCTGAGCGACGCTTTTGCGGCAAAGCTAGGCATCCCACTGCGACAGCGCTGTCCAAAGCCCCCGTGCATCATTTGCATATTGATGCGGAGTGAGCGTGTGGGAAGACGCAGTAAAAACACTAGCAGTTTGTGGCACTCAACATGGCCTGCAGCTCAGACAACATAGCACGCTCACCCTATTGTTGGCAGACTTGCGTTCGACGCACATTGTTTGAGCCGGCTCAGGAACGGCTCACACATCTTTGGATCCAATACAGCTCATGACTCAAAGCCGTTTTAATTGTTTTTATTCAGCTCAGTTCATCAGAATCTTCGCTGGCGTTGAATCAGTTGGCCCATGACTAACGCAGCTTGCAAAATCCATAATCCAATTAAGTTCTGGTGAATTGCTTTATGGCTCGCGAGCCATATGTCTCACTCACAAACACACACACACACACACACACACACACACACACACACACACACACACACACACACACACACACACATATATATACATATATATATATATATATATATATATATATATATATATATATATATATGTGTGTGTGTGTGTGTGTGTGTGCATGCAGTGTGCGTGTATGTGCGTGGCTGGCTGCAGTCTGGTTCTGAAGTCTCAACGTCAGAGCTCTGCGTGGAGCCATGCGATGCCGTCACATCAGGCGTGCTGTGTGGACTGTCTTATCAGGACGGCTGGCGTTTAGACAGCAAACAAACTTCAAAGACAGATTGCATTCCACACAGGACTAACTGCACCCGAAGAGTCTGACGAAAGTGCCGGTGAGAAGGCTCACTTGCGCAAGCGTATGGAATTCGTGCTGCGTCGTGGTGACATGAACTTATCTTTTGCTGTGATTTTCTTTGCTCGCTGTGATTTCTCTGGACGAAAAATTAAGCAGCTTAACGTAAAGTGTTGTCAAAATGCACTCTCCCTTGCTTTGCGTCCAAAAGCATGAGCCGTTTTAATGTAATCCTTGCCTGGCTTTAAACCGGAAGTGATTTCTCCCACTCTGAGGTGACTCTAGGCCCGTCGAGGGAAGGAAAAGGGGCCTTTGTATTGACCCTTCTAAAACATGTTTATTTCATACGCCTCAGCAACAGAATGCTTATAGCAGCTCAAGTGCAATGAGGGGTCAGGTATGAACTAGTTCATTGTTGTGACAATAATCGCGAAAAATGACCAGCCACCGCGCCACCATGAAAACATAACCAGCCGCCGTGCTAAACGTCACGGCAGGGGAGCGTAAAGAGGACATCAAAGCCAAAGCAAAGCGTTTCGTTGAACTTGCATGATGACAACCTGAAGCTTGCGCACATTTTCCTTAAGCAAAGTTTTGCAAGCTTTCGTAGCATTCATTACACAAGCCTTTTTGACGAATTAGTGTATTGCAAACATAGAACACACAAGCTGAGAAAAAAACAGGCCAAATCAAAGGCGGCACATTCAAAGTGGTGACCAAGGGGCCCAATGAGATTTTCCTGTTGCAGCGGCCACTTAGAATCGAAATTCTGAACAATAGGAGATGTAGGCATGCTAACAAGCATCTGAGATGTTGAAAGATCTTCATATTATAATAACCTTGAGCTACTGAAGATAAATCTGAATCTATTTGGATTACAAATGTGTTCAGGAAGTTGCGCTGCTCTGTTTTACAAAATCAACGATCCATTATGTTGATGACATAAATCCCGTTCCATCTAAAACAGTAGTACTTGAGGTCAGGTAAAAGCAATTTACTTTCCAAGAGGTAGACTACATATCCAACAATAAAATACTTAACTACCACCTACTACCCCGATATTTCCGGCAACATCGTTGTAAATGTAATTGATATGGCCAGTAGATTTAATTGATTCATCATGAACGGCTTCAAGGCATCTCATCTCGCCGTTTGTTAATCTCCACTTCGGGTATGAAATTCAAAACTGTTGAGTGATGGTGAGTACGGCTTTTAGTTAAACTAGATGCGTGGTTGGCTCGGAATCATAAACCCAAGTGATAACTTTGAATTAGTGATGTAATTCGCTTTGTTACCTGCAACACGCAATCGATAGGGGGGGGGGGGAATGTGCCCCACCTCCCGAAGGCTTTTCGAAAATAACTTTCCAACGGTACGGTGTAACCAAAACTTTCCAACCAAACTTTGCATAGCAATAAACAAGCAAATGGCAAGATCTTTTGAACTAAACAATTAGAGATACCTTGTAAGGTCACTGACCTATGCCAGGTCAAAGTCAGGTCGTGACCATCAGCGCAGGCAGCTCCTCGGAAATCGTTCAATCTGATGCTGCAAAGAAGTGTCAGACGAGACCATATATTTTTGTTGGCAGTTTCTCAGGTAATCAGATAATTGAATAAAAAATAGGATTGCGACAAACTGTATTGACCCTGGGTCAGCTATGAACGTCCTACCTATGCTAACACATACCCTGCTTTTTTCTAGAAAGCTTATTTTCTGGGGTCGTTTCTGATGCTTATTTCCAACTTCTTGACAACAGTGACGTCAAAACACATCTTCCTGGGACTTTTTAAAAGTCAGAAGAGGTCATTGACCTAAAATGAGCCAGACCAGTCCCTATATAGGAATATAACACCAAGCGTAATCCATGCCACTTGTTCGAATTAAAAAGTTTGAATTATCTTTCAGGTTTTTAGTCAATATGGCCTATTGAAGATCAAATGTCACTGATCTGAACTAATACCAGTGCGCTTTTTCTTAAAGCAGGCATCTAGGTTCGTGTTGCATGAGGAGGTTTTGGGGCAATTGAGACACAAGCTTGAAATTTTGACCTGGTTTGACCGCATTTGATCCAAAGATGCTTTGGTCTAGGAACCTTAAATGTTGACATAATTGGATTTACATGCAGGTCAATCCGCTCTTTGCAATCGGTGTCTCTAGTTCCTTTATTAGATTTTGAGCTCTCAGTGGGTCTACCTGTCACCCCCCCCCCTCGCCATCGTTACCCGAGTGCATCGTATTCAGGTGCCCACTCGTGACGCGGTAAGTATGGTGGCAGCATTGTCGACAAATGACACGTAGTGCGGGGGTAATACAACCGAGAAGTCGCGAGGATTCGTTGTTCTTTACGATGAGCAATCAATTGTGGGCACTTCGGTGCGCTTAATGCCGTTTCCTGAGATTTTTTTAGCTTTGTTCCACTCACCAAAAATGCTCCGTCAGGTCGAGGTCATGACCTTGTTTGTCCGTAAAGATGCATTTCGTTTGCAAACGAGAAGGTATTGACATTGCTAGTTGGAAAACAAATAATCAGTAATAAATAACCTCTGTAAGAACCACCGTGAAAGCAACTTAGTGCACCTTCCCCGTTTTACCCTTTTCTCACCCAGTGTGACCTTTGCCCTAAAATTTCACCGCAAATGATATCATGTTTTTCAACACTAAATGATGTGGTAGTATGCGAGACAGAAGCAAAACGTGATGCCAAGCGCAGGTGCCACTAATCTGCGTACAAGAACAATGAACATGTTTGACCTTATTTGATATATTATGACATGACATCTCACCCTCATGCACAATCAAGGCTGACACCACTGACATAGAAATCGATCGCATGTATAAAAGAAACAACTAGCACATCCTATTGTCAACATATGAAAAGTATTGTCGATTTCGGTGATAAAATTAACTGACACGGCCTTCACAAATGGGTCATAGGTTACGACCAATTGTTACAAAACTGTTGAGAATTGTGCTGGACATGTGAACTTTGCATTACGTCAGCTTCTGCAAAATAAGCGATGTTGCTGTGTGTGACGATATTCAGCATTTTCTCCTGTACATGATCAGAAAACTAGAAGTTTAAAGACAGTGTCCATGGCCATGAGTCTCGCGAGCCATTTGTTTCTACAAACTCTGTCTTTCTGACATAGGTATGTGACAGTGATCGCTTGATGATCTTCGCTTAGCCAACTTCTCCTAGTGTAGTGAAGGCTAGCTATTTTCAGCACGAAATGTTATGATGCCAAGAAATAAGGGTTCTCTTGCATATTACCATGGGGAACAAAACAATTCAAATAAGACACTGAAATACCCCAGCCCTTAACCACCTGTTCATGCAGTCACGGTCACAAACAACGGATTACGTACATACTACGTGCATAAACAGATCGCAAACGGGATCGTACACTGAGTATGGCCATGGCATGTATCTGCATTCATGCATTTGCCCATCCTGTTATGCAACATGTTTAAATTCTCTCAACACCCGAGCTTACTAAAGCTCTTTTGCCCGCATATTTTGTTTCCCATTTGTGCAGTTAATATGGGGGCTGTGCACTTTGGTATACCAAATGAGAGTTCGCAACCAGTAGACGTCTACCCAACACATTTAGGGTCTGAGGGTGTCCTACATGATACCGCTCCATCTGGAATACCAGCGGGATTGATCGAATTGGAGTGGGGTGGCACCGGGATGGCGTAAGCGGATGCAGGCGACGAAAACCAGTGCCGCCCTCTCAGTTGTCACTGGATGAGATTGCTCAAGTCACGCTCATGGGACGCTTCTTTTCAGCCTGCAACTGTTTGAAACCCATCATTTCAGGACCGGAAAATCTCATATCCCGCCATAAAAGTACTGTTGGGAAGTGGTCTGACCATTTCGATGGCTGCCGTCTGCAGCGGCGATGGGTCGGAGGCGCGTCACGTGGTGTCACGTGGCGCGGCCTGGTGACGGGTCCGGCGTCCATGCTCCCGCCTGCCGCTGTACCGCGGCCTCGCCGGCGGGGTTAAATTATGTCTGAACACGTCCGGCCGCCGGCGGCTAACCCGCGAGGACTGATTGCCCTCTTGCAAGGCGCGCCAGCCGGTACATTGGCGTCCAGGTGCGCTCCTCCTCCCCCACCTGGCGTCGATCGGCCGCGCGACCCTCTGAAGTGGGGCGGGGCGGGCAGGGGGGAGGAGGGGGAGGACGGCGCGTGCGTCCCCAGCGTCCTCCCGGCTCGTAGAGACCGCCGTCGACTACTCTGCCGTCGGCGGCGGCGGTGGTCGGCGGTCGGCGGCCGCTGGACGGCGGCCGGCGGCACGGCGCGGAGCTCTTGACGAGGGTACTCCTCTGGTGGGACGGGCGCCAGCGAGCAGCAGCGTCGCACCAGAATCTCACAACAGGTACAGCGGGTCGGGCCGGTCGTGAGTGAGTGTGCTCTGAGATTGAAGCTGCGCTCGCTACCTGACGGGATGTTGTATTACGTCTCGGTCTTACCGGCATTGGAATAATGAACAATATTGTTCTGTCTTGTTCATATCAGCCTTGGAATATCAAATCAAGCTACACATGGTTGACGTGTTTGAACATGTCAACAATCCGTAATTGCTTGCGCTGCGTGGGAGGCGTGTGTGGCATCGTTTCACTACGTTTTTACAGGCTGGCGTGAGATTATGTTTACTCAAGCCCAACACTGTGAGAATATACAACCCATTTTGATGACTAGCGCCGCTAACACGTTTATTCCCTTTGATGTCACGCGTGGGCAAGCTAGCAGCAAAGTTTGTGCAGCTTGGCAGGACAGACTTACATGTATTCCAGATGTGTCGCTATTGCGCCACAGCCTAAATCTTCTGAAACTCTGACAAAAACGAATCTTAACACGCGTGGGTACCGTTATTTCTATAAACGCTTACAATTCACATTATGCACCCCGTTTCTCAACGGAATCAAAAGTTGCAAAATTTAACAGTGTCATATATATATATATATATATATATATATATATATATATATATATATCAGGCCTTCACAATGTAAATCATTTTTTAAAAATGCCCGTGGAATGTAATATGTACATTGCGTTACTTAGGTGCGCTCGGGTCAAACTGATCCCCTCCAAAGGTTTACCACAATAGTCCCCGAACGGCACGGCGTAACCGTGCTGAACTTTGCTTAACTGTAGAGAACTGAATAGCGGATCGCTTGACGTAAAAATTAGACGTACTTTGTAAGGTCGCTGACCTATATCAGTTACACTCAGGTGGTGGCAAGTCACATGAGTCATTACATTATGGCAGGTCACACTCAGATCATGGTTGTCAGCGAAGGGTATTTCTAGGGAATCGCTTAATGTAATGTAATAATGGAGTGTTAGACGAAGCCATACATATCAAAGATAATTTCTTAGGCAACAGACCAATTGAATTTAGAGTTACAACTAATTATATGGACCCAGGGTCTGGTATGTAGGCCATACCGAAGTCAAAACTAACCTGCTTTCTCACTCGAGAGCTTTGTTTACAGGGTAGTTGCTGGTGCTCTTTTCATTGTTTTTTAATGGCAGGAACCGCAACGGGCATTCTTCATGGACTATTACAGGCCATAATACGTCACTCACCTAAAATGAATCGGGTCAAATTTTGTTTTGAGGAATATGCCCCCTGGCGTAATCCCCGACTCTTATTCGAATAGCAAAACAAGAATAATCTCGAAGGCATTTGGTTACCTTGACCTTGTCAAGGTCAGACAAGGTCTTCGACCCTAATGAAGACATTTACATTTTTCTCAAAACAGGCATCTAGCTTCACGGCGGTCGCATAAGGAGGTCTGGGACACTGGGACACTAATCTGGAGTTTGACCTTGTTTGACATTAACTGACCCCAGGGCTATGACCTAGGAACCTTAAATTGGGACACGAGTAAGTTCACGTACAGGTCAATACACACTATAACTTTTGTGTTTTCAGCTATCTTAGTTTCTGAGATATCAGGGGTCAAATTTAACCCCCACCGGAGCGAAGGGTATTTAACTGGCCATCCACACGCGTGTTAAGAAAGCAGTTGTTTCTGGTCGCTTCGATCACTAGCTGTTTTTCTGAGGATAGCATTAGCCTTTATGGGTATACCTAGCGCTCACTCAATAGTTTGCATCACTTTTGTACATGGTATTTGCCGTTCTGACGTCATTTAGGATTCGGCTCACCGGTAAGAACCATCATGCAACTTCTGGTTCCTTACGGTGTAACTTATATATCTTAGAGACTGGTCGCGGTGTGGTTATCTGCCGTCAAGCATGATACCTAAATTACAACCACGGAGTTTGAGACGTCAGATCAGCTGCGCAAGGCATCTAATGACACACTGATTGTGATGCAATGCATCGATATGTCCATATGTATATACCAATTGACGCATATGTATACGTGTTACTTTAAGCTCTGCAACTTGACAGCGCAGAAGTGAAATAACCTTGTTAGCTCACCCGAATACATTGATACATTAGAACTCTACCCTGCACGCAAAGTGTGCCACTACGTCATTTGTGATCGGATTACTTGTGCTCCCCGATTAATTTAGCTGATCAAACAAAACATAATGGTCTTTGGAAAACGCTATAGACATACAAACGTGCCTACCGTATTTCACAGCCCTCAGTCAGCAACATATTTGCCTAAATTCATCAACAAGTGTGGTTGCCACCAGTTGTAGTTGTAGTCTCATACCAGTCGCAGATCATGATGTGATGTCTTGTTTTGGCGTTGCAGTCGTTACATCCATTGAATCGCCTCAGTCTGAAGTTCATCACACGTACCTTTGCACCGTCACAGATCAGGCAACCTTTTAAGGCACCATCAGAGTGAATGGTGATGTCAATGGATGCTTCATCAGCGTCAGGTATCCATTGTACAGAGGGGCTGGATTTGTCGACGGTAATGCTTTTGAATGGCGGTGTGCTCCCTGCTGGACGGCAAGGCTGATGGTGGCTGCTGGGATGCCCGCTCACGCTTGTCTGCTGTGATCAGCTGATGGTGGCTGCTGGGATGGCCGCTCACGTTTGTCTACTGTGATCAGCTGATGGTGGCTGCTGGGATGCCCGCTCACGCTTGTCTGCTGTGATCAGCTGATGGTGGCTGCTGGGATGCCCGCTCACGCTTGTCTGCTGTGATCAGCGCTCTTCGGCCGGCGACGCCAGCTGCATATCTCGCTCTGTACGCTGCTCTGGCCACACCGCTGGGCGATGAGGCCGTGACCCCGCCGCCCACGCGGCCCCCGAGGCGATGGCATTCATGGCATCCTAGATAGAGCCCCGCCCTCCCGGACGACGAGAGCACAGGCTCTGCTCCGACCTGCTCATCTTGAAATCTTCCCGCCCCCCCCCCCCCCTGATGCAGCCCGGGCTAGCCACCGTTCTGTCGTCCGCCCTGTATGTGACGGCTGTCAGAGATAGCAAACCGAATTTCAAAACGTGATTTTCATATGAACTTCAATGTGCAAGACCATTCTGAATTTCCTTCTTCATTGGCACTTTCCAACATTTAGATCTCTTCCTGATCACACTCGCACTTATAAAGTGGCTATGTTGTAGCGCTGTATTGAAACCAGTTGTCAGCAAACTTTGATTCATGTACTCAAAGTTATTGATTGATAATTGACAAATCGATATTCCCACTCAAAGTTGCTGCAGTTCAAGGTTCCTAAAAGCAAGGCGCCGTTTGGGGGCCTGGGTTTTATTTCGTCTATGACGCATTCATATTTGAAACATTTTTTATGAAACGATTGTCACACGCCTTATCTTTTAACAAACTTCACTGGCTGTATTTTTCCTCTGTCGGTGGAAGTTTCACCTGTAGCGCATGGCGCGTTTTTAACTAAGTTTTCTTGTTGGTTTTATTAAATAACAGACAGTTGTCGTGCCAGCCTATGAGAATAATAAATAAGTGGCTATGGCCAGTAGCTTTGGGACAAACGATTCGCACTTCTGCCGGCACGCTGTTTCTTAGACCTCCACAAAACACTTGCTGATGTAAATATCTATATTTTAAACGACTGCTTCTGAGAAGAGGCATTGAATTCTAGCGATGCAGCTGTTTGTCCTGCCCACTGTCTAGAGGCTTTAGTCTGTCGCAACAAGAGTAGATCCGCAATTTTCTTGTGCAGGAAATCACCCACAGAACAGAAACAGCTCAAAATAGCCTGTAACATTTCGTCGCAATGGAATCAGGTACGAGGGATACTAGTCGTAAGAAGACAAGGTTGTTAATAGGCGACTTGCATCTGGTTTGACGCATAAATCGACGCGAAAAGCGAACTACTGTTTTATTTGAGTCACCGTTGATACTAATCAGAATGCTGCCATATTCAGCGATAACCAATCCGGTGATGTATAACGTGAATGTTAGTGTTTAAGCTCGTATTTTTGATATATGTGTAATAATTTTGTCCTCCTCACACTTCTTACCGAGGCTTAAGGGTGCAATTTGCCGCAAACTGGGCGCCCGGTTGCTTGACTCAGCCAGGTTATAAAAAATGTCCTCTTCAGAACACCAAAGCGTCTACCATCTTTCAAGTTTGATCGCATTCTAAATACGAAATAAGACGTAAACGACGTGAATATCAACCATTCCCTTCAAGATCTCTCTTTGTTACTGAGACACACGCACACGCGCATGCACACGCGCATGCACGCACGCACACACGCACTCACTTACGCATGCACGCATGTATATATATATATATATATATATATATATATATATATATATATATACATGCAAATATACAGGTGGACAGATAGATAGATAAACAGATAGATGTAGGTCGTACACGGTGAAAAGGAAGATTCGTGCATCATTGAAAAATTCTCTCCGGACTTTTTGGTTGGATGAATTTTGGAACAAAAGCTCTAAGCATGGCTTCTAGTGTGAGCCCTGAGCCCCGCCATCCGATCGGACAGTTTCAGGTAAACGGCAGAAAGTTTATGGCGGCAGTTTATTGTGCCATAATACCTGTCACTATCAGTTCTGCTCTCTGACGTCGCCTGATCCTCAGCACGACCGCTGCCAGTGGCCACAGGTCATACCATACCCATACCATATATATATATATATATATATATATATATATATATATATATATATATATATATATATATATATATATATATGTACAGCCGCAAAGTGCACTTCCACGAACTCCACACGTATCGAACATGCTCTTCAAATCGGGGAGCGCCCTCCAATCCCTGAAGTTACTACTGGACGACTCCTTGCATATAGGTATGGGATGGTTGCATTGCTGATCTATGTATAGGACATACGCAGGCCTGACTAGCAGATATTGACGACCAGAGAAAATGAGCATGGGAAGCCCGCCGTGCGATGTAAGCGAATGTACCCATACA